AGGGTTAATTTCCCAAGGAGGAATGCCTCTCTCTTGAGGGTTCCAGGAAATTAATCCCTTCAGGGTGTCCCACTGCTCAGAAGAAATGGGCTTTGAGTAATCCTTTTTGCATCTCTGTCACCCGGTGTGAGGCAAAGCAATACTCCCCATGTGCGCAAATCCAGTTCCTCTAAAGGGACTTCTGGGAGGTGATCTCTGGGCCTTTGGAATGTTACAGCTGACAGGAGCATCTTTGTTTTTTTCTTTTTTTAAAGCCAGTCAGATTTAGCAGCAGGGGGTTATATATCAACTTCAGTGATACTAATGTCAATAAGTCCTGATAATGTACTACCATCAGAACAGACAGAAATGTCTTTGATGGGGACCGTGGGTCATTTTTTATCGTTTACCAATGTGATTTAGGGCAGGGGCTGCCACATCCATATGGATAGTCTCAGGGTAGAAGCTGGCCACTCCAGAAGTACCAGCAAGAAACTTAGGGTAGGGGCTTTGGCTCAGGCAGTATCAGTTGATCTGGAGGCTGTGATTAACCATGTGGGCAATCAATCAATCATGCCTACATGATGAAGCCCCAATAAAAACTGGACACTGAAGCTCAGGTGAGCTTCCCTGGTTGGCAAAATTCCATATGTCCTGTCACACATCATTGACAGGACAATAACACGTCCTGACTCCATGGGAGAGGGCAACAAAAGCTCTGCATCTGGTATTTCCTCTGGATGCAGCCCTATATGCTTCTTCTCTTGGCCAATTTTAATCTGTTATCTTTTCTCTGTAATAAATCATAATAGTGTAATAGCTCTCTGTGAGTCCTGCTCGTCAATTATTGAATGTGAGGTAGTTTTGAGAGTCCCCCAAACTTGCAGTTGGTGTCAGAAGTGAGGGTGGTTTGGGGGACTGTGTGCTCTAACTTCAGAGCTGGCTCTAAACTTCGCATGGATATTGACGCTGGTTCTCACCCTCGGACACTTGGATCTAATTGGTATGGAATGTGGCCTGGGACACAGAAGTTTAAACGAGGAGTTTTAGATGCTCCCTGGGTGATATTCTGCAATATTTGGTATCCACTGATTATTACAACCAAATAGTACACCACTGATCAAAACAACACAAATATGTTACATGGTTTGATGAATAATGATTAAATTAAAAACAAAATTTTATTGGAAATTCATCTCTTAATGAGATGGGTTGGGGAGGGCAGAGTATGATGCCTTGATTAGGAGTGAATTTGCTAAGGCCAAATTTTCAAATGGCTACTATGCCTGGCTCTCCAGTAGTCTTTACATCTGGGGACCACACACCATAGTGAGAGGGTTTTTTGTTTATTTTTTTCCCTGTAAAACTGAAGAAGGGGAACTGTGAGAAAGGTTGGGAAAGAGAAATATATGATGCTT